GGTAATAGAGCTTAGGACAGCGCCCGTGGGGGAGGAGGGGAGGGGGAGGGGTATTTGAAGAGTGAGAATCGCGTCAGAAAAAGTATGTGCATTTTGAAATCATCAGGAAGGTTGTTCATGCATCGGAAGCACGGGCCTTTGAAGGTGTCGAGAGGGCCTATAAGCCTGTACCCCGTTTTCTTCTTCTTTTATGGATGTGAACAGAATTTTGGTGATGACTGATGGCAGGATGACGGATTGGTGATAATGAATTGAAATACAGCGTTTTTTTTTTCGATATACTGTATTCAGCCAATCATCAACTTTTTAAGTGCATCTCTAGTACAGTTGAAGGACGTTCGTCATAGCTATCCTCGTCTTCCTTTCGCCGGACTCGTGAGCTCTCTAGCCGCCCTCCCCTCCCCCCCCCTCCTCCTCCTCCTCCCTCCGCGGATTCCCTTTCTTCCGAATGTTGCGTCATCGTAGAGAGCTTACCTTGCCATTTCGGGCCTCCTCTCGCCTTCCCTCTGCCTCGTCCCGCCCTAGCCTTCAATCCACAAGCCTCGGCAGATACGCTGACCTAATGAAAGATCATGTATATTTTTTTCACACACTAAAACGTCGTGTGTGTGTGTGTGTGTGTGTGTGTGTGTGTGTGTGTGTGTGTGTGTATGTGTGCGTGTGTGTATGTGTGTGTGTGTGTGTGTGTGTGTGTGTGTGTGTGTGTTTGTGGAGAGAGAGAGAGAGAGAGAGAGAGAGAGAGAGAGAGAGAGAGAGAGAGAGAGAGAGAGAGAGAGAGAGAGAGAGACGGGGTTGCAGCTTCACACACAGATATATGGGTAGGTACACGCGCATATAAACTCAAGTCCATAATAATGCTATTTACGTTGTCAGAACACCGATAGCTGCAAGACTCCCCGCCCCCCAACGTCGGGTACGGCAATATGTACAGACTTTTACGGCGAGTAGTACGCGTCGCATTTCACGTACAGATAAGACCCAGAATACGTGCTCTTTATCAAGGGAATGTGTACGCTCTCTCCTCTGACGCTTTCTGTCCCCGTGTGCTTCCGCCATTGTGTCCCCCCCTCCCCCCTCCCCCCTCCCTCCCCCCTCCCCTCCCCCCGTCTCACTTCGCTTTTAAAGACGAATTGTTGGGCGTTCAAAAGGGGGGGGAGGAGAGGGAAGCAGGGACGAAGGGAGGGGAAGGAACCGGAAAGTGGGGAGAGAAATAAGGGAAGAAAATAGAAGAAGAAGAAGGGAGGAAGAATATGGAAGGAAGAAAGAAAGCGAACGCAAGGGGGGAGAACTGGAGATGAATGAGTGAGTAAGAGAGAAAGAAAAAGTGAGAATGAGAAAGAAATGATACTTGTAAGAAAGAAAGAGGATACATGAGAAAGTTGTGGGAAGAAAAAACTGTGAGAAAGAAGGAGAGAGGGAAATGGAGGAAGAAAGAGATTAGGGTCTTAGCAAGAGGGAGGACGGGCAGAAAGAGAAGGGAAAGGAGAGAACAAATGTGACAGGAAACCTTTCCAGCTCCGTCCTAATTAAATCCTCTCCCCCCCTCACCCCCCCACCCCGCCCCAAAGCACAGGTATCAGGTGCAACATCCGCCCCGTCCAGACCCGAGCGAGCCCGGCCGCGCGGCGTCAGAAGGGGGGGGGGGGCGCCGAGATATCGTCTATCTCAAGAGGTTCACGTTAATTAATTGACAGTCTCAGGTACTCCCAAGTTCCCAATACCCGAGATTTGATGAAGTTGGACCTCGGGTGATTCTTTAGGCTTAATATCCTTGGGGGAAAAAAAGGTCATGTTTAGCCTCGCTCTTAGCTTTCATCACCCCCCCCCCCCCTCCCCCATCCCGGCCCGACCTGACTGCTCTCCCTTTGCAGTTTTATATGGACTGCCTGATTTATTGGGTGTTGAGTTAAAGAGATCGCGGATAGTAATGGCAATTTTCTGAATTTTTTAACTTGGTTGGAGTCGGCATTGGCCACGGACTGCGTTTGAAAGTATTATTTATTATGCAGTTTGAACCTCTACTTTATGTATTTTCTGTCGCGCTCTGCTTCTCAAACTTTTCAGTAGGACAATGTTTAAACTTTTTTTGGGTGTGGGGTGGGGTGGGGGGTAGGGGGGAGATGCGGAGACAAAAACAAACGAAAGAAATCTGTAGAAAATCGGGAAAGATGCCAAGAATAGTTTGGTTGGCAGTCCGCTTCCCAATATGTGATACATGTGCGGCGCGAAGAACTGTTACATAAGGTATTAAGTGACCATAAATATCTGCAAGGTGAGTCATGTGAAACGTTATAGTAGCGTAGGATTTTGAAAACCTGGTGATTCACCCCGAAATGCATAGGCGAGAAAAAATAAGAGGGTGAGGAAGAGAAGACCGCGAGACAGACAGACAGACAGACAGACAGACAGACAGAAAGACAGAAAGACAGAAAGAGCCAGAGCGACCGAGGTACAGAGAAGCAAAAGAAGTAGAAAGAGTAATGGAAGGGAAGGAGACGGAGAAAAGAGATGTGAAAGGCAGCGAGAAAGAGAGAAAAGGGATAGAGGCGGAGGGGGGGAGGGGGGAGGGAGGGGGGGAGGGGGGGGGTCAGGTTGGCACTGATCTAATCTAAAACAAGAAAATGAATGTCCCCAATTTAGACCAGACGGGAAAA